TGTAAATTGTTGTTATAATGTTTTCGAATTTGGTGCCAAGACTCATATTGTAAATTTTTTGAATTAAAAAGTGCCAATTTAAGTTGTCAAATGCTTTCTCAGCATCTAAAAACATGAGTGCGGATTGTTTCTCCGGATGGGCTTCATAGTATTCTAGGACATCGATAACGGTTCTTAAATTGTTCTTTATTTGTTGGGACGGAAGAAATCCATTTTGATCTTCGTGGATATGTGGATTTAAAGCTTGTTTTACTCTATTAGCTATGATAGAAGTAAATAATTTATAGTCGGCATTTAAAAGTGAAATCGGTCTATAGTTGTTGATGTATCTATGATCTGCATCCTCCTTCGGGATTAGCGAAATCAGCGCCCCCCTCCACGAGTCCGGCATCTTGGCTGCCAGAAGTACCTCGTTAAACACTTCCAGTATCAGTGATCCTACTAGTTCTATTATTGCTTTGTATAATTCTGCCGGAATCCCATCTGGCCCTGGAGATTTGTTATTACTTTGATTCTCCGTTGCTGACTTCAATTCAGACCATGTAATATCTTTATTCAATAATTCTATCCATTCCTCTCCAATTGCCTTGTCATTCGTCTCCTCTAAATAAGTTCTTATTTTATCTTCATTAACTTCTTCCTTTTTATATAATATTTGAAAATAGTTGTAAATGATATATTTTTTCTTCTCTATCTCATGTTGTAAGACGCCTTTCTCATCCATTAGTTGATGTATCAATCTCTGTTCTTTCACTTTTTAAAGTTTATGGGATAACCATCTTCCTGGTTTATTTGCATACTCAAAATAGGTTTGTTTGGACCTTTTCAAATTAACTTCTATTTTATCTTGTTCAAGTAAGTTCAATTTATGTTTAATTGTTATTAACTGATTTTGTATTCTCTGGTTTTTAGGGGTTTTTTGTAGTTGTATTTCTAATTCTTTAATTTGTTGTTGGAATTTATTTTGTTGGGCATGTATTCTTTTATTTCTCATGGCGTTATAAGAGATTGTTGTTCCTCTTATAATTGCCTTCATTGTATCCCATGTTCAATAAGATTTTCAAAAGTGCAGAAATATGGTGCTCTCTATTGCAGTTTATTCTGCATTACAACATTGGGAGAGACTCTACCCCATCACAGTTGAAGCAGACACTGAATGCCTCTAAAACAAGAAAAGGGCAAGGTTAGCATAAACCTCTATGAAACAATATAAATGCATAGTTGTTTTATCAACATTAAGCACTGAAGAAATGGTAATTTGGGGACTGGATATACGTTTGGGAAAGATTAATAACGAGTCCACTTGAAAAACATTGAATAGTTGGAAGAAGCAGTTGACAAAACTATATTTGCCCTGCCCTTTGAAATGATCTGAATGCCCCCTGAAGCCACCATATTGGCTTTAATGTACAAATGTCTATCAGAAGACATCCAAAAAGCAATTGATAATTTGCTGGATCTATAGAACTGTGGCATAGCAGCACTATGATCAGATTGCCCCGGTCTAATTTGGTTATAAAAGGAATCCAGAACATAAGTTGCTAATTTGATTATAAAGGGAATCGAGAACAGAAGTTGCTAAGCAAGAAAGTTTGTAAAATGGGACAAAACTTACTTAACAACTTTCTCACTTAGCAACAGAAGTTTTGGGCTCAGTTATGATCATAAATTAAAGACAACCTGTAGTTCACTGAATTAGTCTTTTATACATTTCTGCCATGTAGCAGATAATTGCTTTGGGATGTATAAAAGATTCTGGGAACATAGAGATCACTTGAGGGGCCCCACTACACCCAAAGAGGAATACTATAAAGAGGTTAGAGATGGAATGGGAGCCTTCATGTGATCTCTATGTTCCCAAAGTCTTTTATAGATCCCATAACATTTATAGTGGATCTGTTGGATTATTTTGCAACAAAAAGTTCATTTGTCAGGGCTCAGATCAATATTCTCCAAGGAACCCCATACATATAATTTTTTCATTTCTTTTTTCCTCTATGGATCAGGGGTGTCAAAACTCACGCCATCACAGCGGCATCACATGATGTATCGGGACTTTTTCCCACTTTGCTAAACAGGCATGGACATGGCCAGCACGTGATACATCCAGCCCACAGGCCAGGAGTTTGACAGCCCTGCTATGGAGGAAGGACCAACTTTCATGCAGCTATTTGTATGTATCTCTCCCTCTCCAGCAATAAGTACCGCACTGCATATTTATATTTGTTAGTGTCACTCACTTGGACATGAATAGGTAGACAGGAAAAAGTAATGCTGTGTGTTGTGTGGAGATACATCTTGTCAACAGGACAACTGATCTGAAATTGCCATTTCCAGAATTTACATATAACTCTCTGCCTTTCTCATGCAGGAGTACACATGCCCATATCGCCAGATCTGTATAAAATTTCGAGACAACCTTCGTCTCCCTGAACTTCCCCCATGATCAATTTTTGATAACCAGGAAGAAAGGGCTCAATATTCTCCTCAATATTCCCCATGATGCATATACTGTGCATTCTTTACGTGGTAAGTAGGGGCACATTACTGTTTCTCTGGATTCATCTATTTTGGATTGTTCCATTGATCTAGAGAAGATGCTTGCTCCTTCTTTGGGGAGGAGGGTACATTCTATGCCAGAAGGAAAAAGTGAAGGAGGAAGTGGCATGATGGAAGGTCTAACAGACTCTATTCATGGAGCAGAATATGAATGTGAAAAAAGATCAATACTGGAAGCAGAAAAGATCTATGAATCTATAAACAGAGAAAAATATAAGACGAAGAAAAACCCCATTTAATTCTGCTAGAATAAGTTGGCTTTAGCATTTTTAAAGATTCAGTTATATTACACTATTAGCAACAAATTACTGAAGAAATCCAATTTGTTCTTGCTTCCTGAGTTGCCAGACTTGCAAAACTTGACAGCTTTCGATTTCTCAGATTTAAGGCTTCTCCAGTCCCATCATCTGTTTATGGCACTGACATTTAGGACTTTCAAAATGACTTCCTCAATTAAAAAAAAACTGGTCAAAATCACTGATAGGAAGACACAATTGATCTCCTACATCCATGATGGTAAACCTATGGCACGCACGCATACCACAGGTGGCACGCAGAGCCATTTGTGCCAACACGCGAGCTGCAGGCAAACTTACCTCACTGCACATGTGTGCAGTGGAAAAACAGGAAGTGATGAAACGGGGCTAGCTTTCGGCCTACAAAGCTTGTAGAAGCCTGCAGAAGCCTTCCTCAAGCCTTTGGGAGGCCAAAAAAGGCCTCAAACCGGCCAAAAGTCAGCTCTGAGGCGCAGTGCAGGTAAGGGGGTGGTGAGGGTGGGGGTGGGGATTGCATGCACATGCGTAGAGAACGTGGGGGGGGGGGGGCGCATTGCCTTCTGGGTGCTGGCACACGAGCACAAACATGCAAGTGCGCGCAATTTTTGGCACAGGAGCCCAAAAAGGTTAGCCACCACTGTTCTACATCCAAGGTTGATGATCTATTCCAGTGTCAAATTCAAGGTCCATGGGCCAGATTGGCTCACAATATAGTGAGATCTGGCCCAAAGGTTGTCCTGGTCTATACAGTGCGAAGAGAAAAGGTCAGGCCAAAGTAGCTTTGGCCCCGTCTACCCAATGTGAAGAGAAAAGATCATGCCAGCATAGCTTCAGCCCAGTCTACCCAGTGCAAAGAGGAAACATGCCAGCAGTTTGGGGAGTGGCATCAAGCTGGCCATGCCTATCCAGTCGGCCATGCCCAACCACCCTCCTCCCCCAAGGTCAACAGCCCTGATGTGGCCCACAATGAAATTAAGTTTGACACCCCTGTTCTACTTTTTCTCCCTGACAAAAGAGAACAGAGTCATCATTCAGCAACTGCAGTTGGGGCCGGAAACTGGTTATTAAGCAAAGTAGTCACTAAGCAAAAACCATGTGACCATACTATGCTTACAATTTTATTTCAGCTTTCCTTTTATTTATTTTTATTATAGTTGGTCAAATTTATAGGGCCAACCATTTCTCCTGAAGAGGTAGCATTCAATAAATTTGGGACCACCTGGCTGTGGTTGTATTTTTACAGCATGCATCAGAAAGCTACAACCACAAACAATTGCGTGAGCCCAAATGGCAGGGAAGGATTCCAGAATTCAACTCACAAGAAGCTGAGTAAAAAGGCAAATCTTACAGCTCTTTCCCCCCATTTCCTGCCCTTTGGTGTTGGGATAATTAGCAAGAAAAGAATTGATCTTTGTATTTATATTCCTTACAGAAAAAAAGCAATTACAAGAGGTATGCAATAGGGAATACACATAGAAAGGAATGTGCCTAGAGTCATTTAGGATTCAAAGAAGCCTTAAAATTAATTAGGTATTGTCAGTGTCAGGAAGTAGCAAGACTTAGCCAAAGAGTTCTAATCAACTAATTGAGAGTTGAATTTGCAGTTAGCATTTTTTTAGGGATGCACTGTATTGGGGACAAAGCAGCTGAGGAAGAGATAGCTTCTCTCTGCTGTGGTAGGGAGGGCAATGGAATAAAATAACAAACAAAAGACAAAAATATACAACTAATGATAATGGCAAATGCCTGATGAGAGAGAAAAAAACAAACACTGTGAAGGTCATAAATATGGGCACTGGTTGCAAAGTTACTTTTCATCACCATTGAAGATTGCTATTTGAGGCAGTCGCTAAATGGGGACTATAAAGATACCCATCTGCAGTATACAAAAAAGATCCCATTGTCAAATTATTAAATATACAGCTTTTCAACTGATACTCAGAAAACAGACAAGGGGGAAATAGAATTATTCTACTTTTGTTTCAAGCTATGCATTTCCTTCAGAAGGGGAATAGTATCATTTTGTACTGTATCATTGGAATAAAAAAACTAAATATTGTACAATTATCCTAACTCCTGAGTAGTTTTGCTGGTATGAATGAGGTAGTTAAAAACAACACTTAATTTGTGTATATTTTTGGGAGGGGGGGAGGAATAACTTTTTACCTCTTTTTGTTTCTTAATGATGACTGAAAATTCAGTATAAGGGATTCTTGGATTTAATTCACATCCCATTAAAGTTGCTCCTTCATAGTCCTTGATATAGCCTACATATTTTGCTTTTGGTACCTTAATATCTTTTGAAAAGCCCTAAGGAAAAAACAATTAATGTATTTTTACTTGCTTACTGAAGACATTGTAATATTTTACAGTAGTGATATTTTTCTTCATGTACTTAAGAGACTGCAATTCAGCAACCTGACAGATCAGTTACTACCACCCTTAATTTAAATGTATGAAAATATCCCATTATACATGAAAGAAACAGGATACACAATATATCTTTTCAAGGCCACCATCAGTGGTTACTATCCAGAGATAATTACACTCCTCTAGCAACTGTCAGAAGCTCTCAAAAACAGCAAGAGGGAAATACATTACACAGAGGAGTCACATAACAGCAATAGAAAATACAACCAGGAATGAACTATTATTACAAAGAAATACTGAGAATTATAGATTTCCAAAAAACAGAAACAAAACTACTTCAGTTTTTTTAATGGCCCAATTAATCATTTGTAACAAAAACAAAATAATTTACATGTTAAAAATTAATATTTAATATGATAATGAAAACTTATACCATAATACAATTGATTAGCTTAAATTGCCAGAACATTTTTAGGTCAATTGTATACGAACAATAGACTTTAAATTCAATGAATAGTAATATTTTCCTTCAGATAATAAGATCACTCTGAAAGTCTTTTGAGTGTGTCTAATAGTTATTCAAATTTTATTTTGTTACACAGGTTGAAAATTAGTCCCAAAGTTGTACTTACTTGCTTTTTAAAGTAGCCAATTGCATATTCATCAGCATATGTAAGGAAATTGAGAATATTATGCTTAATGTGATATTCTTTCAGATGATTCATTAAGTGTGTTCCATAACCCTGCAAAGAAAGTATGATGATATTTTATCAATTGAGGATTACAATGTATTAAAACTTTGCTGCTTGCAGTTTGCAGCAATAAAGCAATTTAAATACAGAAATACTGTGGACCCCTAAGAAGTATATGTGAGAACAGAATTTTTGTCTCCTGGCAGAAGTAATAGTTATCAGATTTTCTTTTCCAATTGCATGAGCCATGTTAAATCCTGCTTCCAAAAACTATTTTCAAAATAATACTTTGCAGCCAAGTCTAACCAGAGTAGGAAGTTATAGCTAGTCTATTTTTCCTGAGAGAATGAATAAGGGAATATTGCAGGCAAAGCTGCATCTGTGTCTGAGTTTATTTTGTAATTTGTAGGAAGGATTTTATCAACTCAGTGTTTATTTTTTGCTTTTGTTTTTTTGTTTTTTTTTCTACCTTTAATGAGGCACTTGACATAACCTGCTCTTAGGGTTGATGTTATAATTTCCCCTCATGTTTTCTTTTTTCCGGCATCATTACTTTATTTATTTATTTCATATGGCATAACAAAATATAGCATTAGTACATTTTAAAAAATGGCATATAAAATGTGTATTAAATATAAACCCCCCATACAGTGAATTATTTTAAAAATGCACAATACAAATGATGAATAAAATGGTAAATAAAATTAAATTATGTATGAGCAATTACTAAAATGCTTAAGCCTGTGGCTGGTTATCTAGATTGTTTAGCCATTGGACAGCAGTGCCCTCAAGATAACGTAGTTCTCATAGGGACCAGGGAACTTTCTGAAGGGACATTTCTTCACAATGAGGTGTAAAGTTTGTGGGATATTCCCACAATCAGACTGCATTATTATTAGTATTGTATGTCCATTTGAATGCAAGTTTTATTATTAGTTTACGTGCTTTAGCCCAAAGCTTTTTTGTTTTGGACATTTTGCTTTCTATTTACTTAGACTACTAAGGCTTAGCATATTGTTGGGGTTAAATTTACTTGTTCATTCTGTTTGGTTAGGTTGCTGATTAAGCAACCAGCATATGGCAAAATCAGACACCATTTCAGGATATAATAGTTTCCTGCAATGAGCAAGGATAGATCATCATTATAGTTCATTCAAGATCTGTTATCTAATTATTAGTTATTCTGACCTTTGAATGTACAAAACTTTTTGAATGATTAGTAAACATCACATATCTTCCTAATAGAACTAATTGTTTAATAAAATTTAATAAAAAAAGAATAATTCCATTATTATGGACAGGGTCTAAAAGTTGGGAAACAATTATTGTTTATTGCTACCAAAGATTTTTCAATATTATAATTAACCTCATTATAATAATACCCACACCTGTTACAATAGGTTGTGACTTTCGGTATACTTCAACCACACTCAGCAAAGACAAAAAAATATTCTAATTGTGCACATAGTTTCTTACCCATCCCCTTTTATCTTATATGTCTATTATTTGCACTGGGGCCAAACTGGAAATAAGATGGAAGAATTATATAGACACTACATTTATTAGTGACAGACACAGAAGTAAATTTTCTCTAAGTAGTGCAAGTAGAATTAAGTCGAAAGAGAATATTACTTTGCCATGTGTTTTATTCAGTCTTCTGGTTCTTTTTTAAAAAGTAAACTGCACTTTGGGCAGAATTATATTTTTTGCCATTTGATCAAGTTCAGGACTATAGGGTCACATAAAATCCAATTATACCTGCACAATATACAATACACTTGTTTGATAATGCAATTAATATTACTTTTACCTTGACTTGTTCATTAGAAGTCACTGCACAGAAAACTATTTCTGTAAATCCTTGAGATGGGAACATCCGGAAACAGATACCACCAATCACACGACCATCCTTTATTAATGCAAGGGTCTTGTGTTTCCTGTAGTTATATATTTTGACATATAAACCATATATCTATTAATGATGCCCATCACTGGTGCCTTCATAGCCATAGCAATTATAAATAGAATATTTTTGCATAGATTTTGATACTAGATTAGATTTTATTTTCAAAAGAAGGTATCTAGAAAACTGATACTATGTCAACATAAAATATTCCGATTGCATTTTCTAGGTTCCCTTTCAAATTATTATCTCCCGTCCCATCTTATTATACAGGAATAACAACTCATTTCTTCAAGATGGAAACAGCTCTATTGAATAATGCTAACTTCTACTCTGTGTCCTGTTTCCAGAAAGAAGGAAAATTGTCTACTAAAACTAAAAGAGTTTGTTTGACTGGGTGAATTTTCAACCTGTATTTTATCAACATCTTTCAAGCATTTAGCAGAATTGTAGGGCATTCCTGTCTACTCTTAAATCAATTGGGCTATTTGTTTCACACAGATAGGGAGCCAATTTTGAACTTGGCCCAAGTCAGTCCCACATTGGTCCAGGTCAGTCCCATTCTCGTTCATGTTACTAGCATGGTCTATATAAACTTCTAAAATACTCCTAGCAGGGTGTGAATTAGTATGTGATTGAGTGAAAAGTCTAGTAGTTTTTCTGGAAATTTGCCAGAAAAATGAAGAATTCATCTTCCTGACTGATTGTCAGTTTCTGGCAGGTGTCCTTTTCTGACAATCTTTTCAACAGATATTTTATACTGAATAAATTTCAAACTGCAAAAAACAATTATCTTGATAATGTTTCAAATATTTTGAAACATGTGACAAACATGCCCAGATCTATCACAGAGAAGGCACACTTCCCAAGTCACAAATAGGTGCCTTTTTTCATGAAAAAGACTTGAAGCATGCCGCCCTTCTGCTACATGTCATGGGGCAAACAGAGTTAATTAGAGGCAGGCAAACTTACAAATAGCCAAATATTGTGTTTTGACGGGCTTTAACTATAGTTACTAAGCAGATAAAAAGGAGTTTTTAAGAGGTAGTACTAGAGACATCTTACTGATTGATAATTCTGAAGAGCCAAACATTAATATTACTATTGCAAATTGATGTGATAGAAAGCAATTGTACCTGCAATTCCTAAATCAGAGAACATTTTGGAGGGGAGCAAGAATTGCCCAAATTGTCCTCTTTCTTGTTCCAATGATAAATTGTCTCTGTGAAAGATTAAGTATTGTCTATTTCTTATTATTTGGAACAAACTTTACAATGAATCGCTAAATGCAAATCCCAATCTTTAGCTCTATCTTTTAGCATGCCCAAAGTTTGAGAATTCTAACAAAAAAATTACAACCACTACACTTTGCCAAATGTACACCTAGCTATCTAGATACCAAACTTGTCATCTTCCTTTTTGTTACCGTTGTTGTTCCAAGTCCCAAATCAACAGTCCCTAGATTTAAAGGCTTGTTTTCAGCTTCTAAAAATGAACCCATTCAATAAATATTATCCCCTTTCTTGTTCTACCTTTCCCTTTGAGAAGAAAATAGACATAATACTCACGGATCAAAGACTAGACGAGTAATATATTCTTTTGGCATCCTGGGTAGCTGATGTGAGAATACATTTTGTAAGCCAACCAGCCACATCATAATCTTTTTATTTGGTTTTTGATTTAAGGAATTTCCAACCACATGAAATTCAATCACTCCCCTACGCTCTTCCAATCTTGCAGCTTCATCCCGGGCTGAGTGTGCAGATAGAAAATTAGTCTGCTTTAAAGAAAAAAACAATGAAAAGTAATTCAAAATTTATTTCAGGAATCCTTTTTTCTCCTTTTCATATATAGTTAATACATATCTCAGTAAATAGAGTTGGAAATCTTTTCCATTTGTTTTGATGACACATACTTTTTTCAAGGTTGCATTTCTAACTGAGTAAGTAATATATCTGAAAAATATCCAGTAATTCAGGGTAAATATTTAATTAATTATTTGGCTAGATATTTACCATGTGAAAAAAATGTTTTAAAAGTCCATTATGGGCTCTTGTATACAAAAGAAGATTTTTGTCAATCAGCTTATATCTAATACTTTTAAAAAATGAAAAACCTTGCATAATTCCTACTTGAAAAGTCAACAAAATATCATTCAACATTACTTGTGTCCTTTAATACAAGGGGGTCCCCAATCACTGGGCCATGACCCACCAGAAACTGGGCCGCCTAAGTGAGCAAAGTGCCATCCATTCACATACAGAATCTAGGCAGCACATGAAACCATGCACACACACACTAGTTGATGAAAAACTGTCCCCCATGGAACTGGTCCCTGGCACCCAAAAGGTTGGAGGTCGCTGCTTTAATTTATCTTCTCAATTACAAACATCTAAATTGAAATAGTATTAAATAGCCAGCAGTTAGTTGTTTGTTTTGCATTTCAAAAAAGTCCACTGAATTATTTAGTATCAACCATAGTGATAGCCTTCAACTTGTGACCAGTCTTTTTATGACTATGAAGTTATGATGGCCTTGAAAAAAGTGCTTTATGGCCTGTAAAGCATTTCTGATCAACCATAAAATGTTCCTCCCTGTGGTCTGGCATATTTTGGGCACATAGCAACCAGCTCAATTTTATAGCTGGTGGCACCATCCTGAGTTCATGTGATGGCAATATGTAAGATTTTTTTTTTTTTTTGCCAGTCTCCGGCAAAAACATCCTGTTTGCGTAATAATTGCATGATTCATTTAATGACTGCTTCAAGAAATGTCAAAAATAGGTCCAGTCATCTGGATGCCTTGATTTATAACTGCAATTTGGACTTACAATTAGATTTCTGATATCAATTATGATCATGTCAAGGACTACCTGTACAATGTTATTGATTACAACATGCAGAAAAAAATGTTCTAAAGACGGTGAGAACTAGTACAACTATGCCAATTATGCCTTCTTTGACAACTTGGCTAACTAGCTACGTACAAAAGTTGCCCAATGCATACATTCTGTCCCTTCATCCTTTTCTACAACTCTACTGGCGCTTGAGGATCCCTGAGACACAAAGATCTAGTAATGGATACATAAACAGAAGCCATGCGGTCACATTTTCTCTCCGTTTCTTGACAATGCTTAGTGGAGACTGAAGAGAAAAGGGGGAAAACAGAAGAAAATCTAAACCAAATAAATGAGAATTTGATATTCACATATCCTTAAAGTACTCTAATAAAAATATAGATGATGAGCCATGTTACAGGATAAGGTTTAGAAACAGGATTTGGAACCTTTTTTTGTTTTGTTTTGTTTTATATGATTTGTTTAATTTGATTTGATATGGTTTATTTTGATCTTATATGCTGAGTTTTGAATTGCAAGCTGCTCAGATTCATTTAGGAGTTGAGCAGACTATAAATTAAGTAAATCTAGCAAATTACTCTAAGTTCATGAAACATTATAAATTTGTTTCAGATGAGATCTTGGCTAATTTTTTTCATGTGTCTGATATATAATATAATTCATAGGAACAATTCCTCATCTAAATATGAGCACATTTTGAAATGAAAATAGTAAAACTGAGTCATATCCAAAAAGACAAGATGTTTGAATGAAACTATATGCCAGCCGTGCCATTAAAAATATCCTTTAAGTTAAAATTTATTTTTAAACTTGTCATTTTCTAATGTATACATACAACTTACATGTTGTATATGTATAAATACTGGCAGCTGGATGTGTTTGGATACATTTACTACTTTTAATAATCCCAGAATTCTTAGCTATGATTATACTGGATAGGAATTCTAAGAATTAAAGTCCAGGCACTTACTGAGGCACTTACTTAGGCTGAATTCTATTAATGTATTAATAATGAAAAATGCCTTCAAATAAAAATCAGTTCAATACTGTTGAAAATTTAAAAATATCTTGGTATGACAATAAACCTATTGATACTGTATTTAGAAAATATAATGTGCTATTTAACATTAATTAATTGTGAAAAGTACATTTCTTACCTCTGGACCAAGCATTGCTGTTGGATCTGTAATAGTTGACATCACTTCATTGATCAGTTCAACAGGAATATCTCCTATAACCCGTGGCTTCTTAGCATTCTCCGCAGAATAACCTTCATTATTTTTTCTTTTTTCCCCTAAACAATGAAGTTGAAACAAAATAATTATTTAACAATAAAACAAAATCCAAATGTTGTACATTACCAGAATCAAAAAATATTGAATTACTTTATTCATTGTTGAAAAATATTTGATTGAGTTAAATAAGCTATGAACTTCAGTAGCAAACGAATTATATTAAACAATAACAATAACAGAAGTCAGCTGCATTTGCCATCTCAGTAGAGTTCAACTTTCCATATTACCAATGGCTAGGAGGGGACTTCCCAAATCCCTAAGGATTGGGCGTTCCAATGGGGGCCACAACAAAGAATGCCTGGAACCTTTTATATACCTCAAAGCTTTTTTAGGGAACATTTAGACTCTTTGACTTATTATAAAGGATGTGAAGGTTCAATTCTAGTAAGATAGTACTTGATTTAAGCCAATGCTATACCAGGACTAGTTCTAGGTCTAAAATATGCATGCATAGGGAAGATATTTTTAAATATAACCAAATCTGGAACTTAACCCACTAAAACTCTTCAAAGAATAACAAAAGGATATCATAATTATCATTCAGTTTATCATTCAGACAGTGGGTTAAAATAATTTCCCATTTATAAAATAGTAGTCATTCATTGACCCTCAGTACGGCTCAGTACATTACTTAGCATTTTTATTTTACTGCAAAACTAAACTGATAAGATTTAGGACATGGTAAAAGATCATTACACACATTGCTTGAATTAGTATTTTGCTTGAATTAGTATTTTCCTGGCTACTCCACAATTTTGGTAAACACAGTTCATTATATTAATCTACAGTATTTTAAGATATTTTTGTATAGTATTGTTGCCCTAGCTTTAACTAATAGCTAACCTATTTCCATATATAAATATGCCATAGCTCTTCCTGAAGGCAATATGAGCATATCATCTGCACAATCATTAAAGCAATTATAGTTGTTGCATCAAAACTCTTTACCTCATTTATCTATAGAAATTGTGAAAACACTTTATTCCTATAAACTCTTATTGATATGGTAGTATGGGTAACAGCCATCCACAACTTTATTCTTCTTCACTTAATATGTATTTTACAGAAGTTGATTTTGAAAAATCTCTATAATATTTACAATTAGCAAAACAAAAAAAAGTCTTTGCTATCTATATTACCTAGGTTTTGGTCCTGGCCAGAAGCAGATTTGGAAGCAGGACTCATAGTTCCTCCACTGGGTTGTTCCAAAGATGAGGGACTTGAACTATATGAAACAGATCTCACCATAGGCGGACGATTAATAACTAACGGAGAAAGAAAGCCAGAGTTAAAGATATTTGAAGTCAAGATCCAGGTGGATGTAGCATCAAAAAACCCTCATACATGTAACAATTATATCAGTATGAGGTAAGAATCTAAACAATCATTAATATGGGTTTAACAGCCCTTTTAAAGTATAGGCAGTCCTCAACTTACAACTATTTGTTTAGTGACCATTTACAACAGCACTGAGAAAATGACTTATCACTAATTTTCACACTTAGGCTTAATAATTTTAGAGCTTTAGAATTAAGGTTAGCCAATATTTTAGTGCCTGCAGTCTAACTGCACTGGATATCTGCCAATGATGTGAGGTAGCAAGACATATAATGATAGGAACAGAAAAGTGCTCAAAGAGAAAGAGTAAAGCCTGAGATGCCACAAAGAGAAAATTCCAAGCATTCTGAACATTCTAAAGTGGCAGCAACTTCTAGACAACTGAAACCGAAGGATTTATTCCAGCATAAGGGTATAGCAATAACTCTCCTTTTCACCTTCCCCTCCCTCACAATTTTCACCAATAAACCTTATGCCCTACATGACTAGGAAGAGGATGATTTCTCTTCTTCTGAAGTTGAAGTTTCTACAGGAGAAAGAGGAGAGGACATCTTTAAAACTACACACACACAAAAAAAAACCTGAAACGTGGATGCAAGTATGGTTGCTAAGAACTACCTACTAACTGCTAAAACAATTATTGCAATTTTAACCAGCTATTAAATGTCAATCAGACATTTAAACAAACTTAAAGCTATAATGGAAAATAATAACTAAATCTGACATGAAGCCAGTCACCAACCCAGCTGCTCCAGAACTCTCTCAAAATACTCACATACGCACAAGTCCTCATATGTATGGAAATTGCCAAGGATAAGCTAGTTTTACAACGTCACAGGATTTTGCTGCAGGTGGCAATTAATCCTCTCAACAAAGTTAGGTAGGAAAATAGAAGAATAGTACTTTATTCCCTTTCACAACTGCTTCCCTGTAGAGTATATTCCAGCTGAACTTACTGAAATCTCCTGGCTCCATATGGCAAAGTCTTGAAAGAATAATGCTAGCTTTTAGTCATTTAACATTCTCTTCGATGATTTTTAAACAGATATGTCTTGGGGCTTTCAAATACACCTACATGTGTACGGCCTCTGCTAAACTTGGGGAGGACAGCCAATCACATAAGGGAGGGCAGCAAGTCCCAGAGCTGATGAAATCAGCCAGCCAATACCTATACAGCAGAATGTTCCACCAACTCAAGGTCAGGCTCAGATAAGCACAAGAGGCATAATGCCCTTGATTTAATTAAAACAAAGATACCGACATCAGCCGACCTTATGGAAGATGAGGAAGAACTAGGACAGTCATTTGGCGACCTCCCTAGGAAAAGCAACAAACCATCATGTATAAGCTTGATTTTATTGCCTCAAGCTTTTTGGATTGAAACTTTCAATACTCTACTACCCCCTAGCTGCTCTTCTGCTGAAAAGCTTAAAAAACTCATTTTCCAGCATCCCCACAAAACAAAATAAAAAAGGAGCTTTAGCCCAAATCACATTGTCAGCAGACAAACATCACAACAAAAGGAAATCCATTTGGTGAAGAACTTAATGGATCAAGCAAGCTATCTTGCCAAGTAGAGACCTCAAGAAAAATCCAAGACATGAACCATTGAGTACATCTGAATACAACACGTTCTATTGATTTCATATCCACATCATAACCAGCAGTAGTGGTGATCGCACATCCAGAGACACCTGTATTAGACCTCAATCTGTGGAATACTGACCCTCAGGATAAAGAAAACAATTACAATAGGAAGAAGAAAGTTGAACCTTAAAATAACTGTGTATATATCAGATGTATTGTTCTCGATATTGATACTGATACTCCCCTGACATTTATAATAAAATAACTTGTTTAACAGCCGATCTTAATAATGAACACCATGAAGTAACCTGTGTTTCCACTGTTCCTCAGGATCTGCCTTTAGCAGTTGACACTACTGGGAATTCAGATTGACAATTATATGCTCCTAAATTCCTAACTATCCTTTCATGGAATGATATATTTTGAGATTTTCTGTTTACAAATTATATTGCTGAATTTGACTTATCCCTATTTCAAGAAACTTGGTTTGACAATAATCTGTATGTAAATGGACTCCAGCAACTTTCATAAGTTGCTGGAGCAGAATAAGGCAGATAGTGTGGCGGTTTAAGTACAGGTAGTCCTCTACTTACAACAGTTTATTTAGTGACTATTCGAAGTTACAATGGCACTGAAAAAAGTGACTTATGACATTTTTCAGACTTATGACCATTGCAGTATCCTTATGATCCTGTGATCAAAATTCAGATGCTTGGCAACTGATTCATATTTATGACGGTTGCATTGTCCCAGGGTCACATTGATTCCGTATCCAAACTTCTGACAAGCAAAGACAATGGGGGAGCCAGATTCACTTAACAATTGTGTTACTAACTTAACAACTACAGTGATTCACTTATACCTGTGGTAAGAAGCACTGTAAAGTGGGGTAAAATTCATTTAACAACTGTCTTACTTAGCCACATAATTGTTGGGTTCAGTTGTGCTCATATCTGTATATAAGGCTCAATTAAGCTACACCTAAATGTTATACAGCTAGATCTTATGAAGCATTATACAATGTCTATGCTGTTAAAATTTAATAATGTTACATTATCACTGTTTCTCTTCCATCATCTCTAAACAGATTCCAATTTAATAGTTTATGGTCTAAATTTGAAACATAGATAAGTATTCTCATATCAAATAGAGGTGGTATTCAGCAGATTCTGAAGTTCTAGAGAACCGGTAGCGGAAATTTTGAGTAGTTCGGAGAACCGGCAAATACCACCTCTGACAAGCCCCGCCCCCATATATTCTTTGCTTCCCAAGTCCCAGCTGATTGGCTGGAGAATTTTTTTTTCATACATACAGGAGAACAGAGCTGGAAAGCAGGTTAGCGGGATGGGGAGGGAATGGGATTTTTGCAGTAACCTTTCCCCAGCAGTGGGGAGGTAATGGAGATTTTGCAGTATCCTTCCCTTGGAATGGGGCGGGAATGGAGATTTGATAGTATCCTTCCCCTGGAGTGGGATGGGAATGGAGATTTTATAGTATCCTTCCCCTGCCACACCCACCAAGTCATGCCACGCCCACCAAGCCACGCCCACAAAACCGGTAGTAAAAATTTTTTGAATCCCACCATTGATTAAATAATACCTCATCTAATGTAATTGTTTTAGGTGGCTTCAATGCAGGGATAGGATTGAATGATAAGGTACTTTTCACTCAGTTCCATCAAAACTCTTCTGAATCAGCTGTAATGTTCCCTTTATTAACCCAACAATCCACAGATTCAAAAGAGGTTATGAGGGGTTATGCTTTCTAAAAACTAAAACCAACCTAATTCTACATTTATTGAATGGATCTCACAGTACTTGTAGTGAATTCTCTCATTGGGCTGCTTCAAGACTCTCCTTTATTGATTATACTCTGATCTTACAGAACTTAATTATGTATGAAAAAATTTTTTACTTAGATAACCGGCCTGAAAACAATCACTTCCCAGGTATGACAATCATAAGAGCATTTAACAATTGTTTTACGGAAACAGAACTTATTCCAATTGCGGAACTGAATTCAAAACTCAGAATGGTCTGTGCCAAATGGTCTTAATAACTTAGTAAGCAAATCTCTCACCTGCTTCAATCTGAAGCAGTTCTGCATCTCCATTCTACTACAGTTAAAGAGAAATTTGAAGCTCACTCTTACAGATATTCTCCCAGTTAATGCAATTATTCCAGTCAGTACTTTCCACTCAGTTCTCAAAGAGAGAAAAACAAGCAAGTAGGAGTTTTTTTCTCTCAGCCCTGGTCTGACATAGAATGTCTTGAGGCCAAGAGTAAACTGATCAGGGGATCCAATTTATATAATAAAAATCCAGCTGAGCATTCTATTCAGGATTATATGTTCCTGAAGAAACAATGTAAACATCTTTTTTAAAAATACGATTAAAAAGTTCACTAGATCTCCCAAGCCAGAAATTCCACTTTATTATTGCTCTTGATAGCTTCGCATACAACCAAGAGACCTCTTCCGCTCCTCACCTCTTACCTGGATCTGTGTAGGAAAATCACTTTGGAGCATTATATCTACAAGAAGAGCTCTCTAAATTTAATTTAGATCTTAAAGCTTCCAAAGTGGCCACTGTCACAAATGCTGAACTAAAGAAGCTTGTAAAGCAGTTAAAACCTGGTAAAGCCTCAGGCAGGAAGTTTATTATACCTGAAATATTATGAAATAATATAGGCTGATGGACCCGTTCGTGCCTGCCTGTTTTATCTTTATTATTGATCACACTGCACAAATTCCTGAGGACTGGAGCTTAGCTATTATTGTGCCCATCTACAAAAAGGGCACACGAGATTTGTCTGCAAATTACAGTCTAGCAACTTGTTAAGCATAATAAGCAAGCTATTTGCTAGACACCTATATAATAAATTAGTTGACTGTATTGATTCAGAGCTGGCTGATAAGTAGGCTTTAGGTCTGGATACTCTATATAATGGACATGCCCTTAAATTTCAACGTCTGGTTTTAAAAATACACATCTAAAGCAGATTCTAACCTGTATGCTGATTTTAGATCTGCATTTGATTTTGTTCCCAGAGCAAGGCTCGGGACAAAGCTTCTGCCATTGATAGACAGTAACTTTTACTCATGCATAACATTTACAGGTGAAACTCAAAAAATTAGAATATCATGCAAAAGTTCATTTATTTCAGTAATGCAACTTAAAAGGTGAAACTAATATGTGAGATAGACTCGTTACATGCAAAGCAAAATAGTTCAAGCCGTGATGTGTCATAATTGTGAAGATTATGGCTTACAGCTCATGAAAACCCCAAATCCCCAATCTCAGAAAATTAGAATAGTACATGCAAGCAATAAAACAAGGATT